ATATAATTCTTGTGAAATTTTTATTTATTTTATTTTATTTTTATTTGCATTTATATTCAAAATAATATTATAATATATTGAAACGTTGTGTAGTTGAATAGATTATATGAAAGAAAAGTTTATGTTATCATACTTTTTAACGAAACTCCTTTTTTGCTAGAAAGAAAGTCTAGTGTATTCTAGTATTGACCCTAGTGTAACATGAACTTACATTGTTTTATATTTTAATGTAATAGAATAATGTTGTTGCATTAATAATGATTCCATTTATCATAACTTTCTTTTGAAGTTAGCAATACTTCAACATTTTCCAAACAACCGTGTACAATTATTATTATGAATGTGCGAAGAGTTAACTGTTCAACCTATTTTTTAGAATGCCCTCCAGGATCTTGGGGCGTGCAATGCATGCAGAAATGCGAATGTGCCGAAGAGGTTATTTGCGATTCTAAAAACGGCAATTGTCGTTGCCCAGCAGGTTTATGGGGATTAAGGTAATACTTAATCATAATTATTCAACACAGTTTCGTATAGAATAAAATAAATAATTTGATTACAATTACAATTAGATGTGAAAACTCGTGCAATTGTAATGAACCTAATAGCAATTGTAATCCTGAAACTGGACAATGCACTTCCTTCACAATAACCGACATACGTTCTTCATCCGAAAACATAAATGAAGTTAAATTATTTAATACAGAAATAATGGACTATGAAAAAGAAACGACTGATCTTTCTTGGACTACTGAACACATTATGAAGGAAGGTACATATTATACGCGTTTTATATGACGATAATAAAAGCTTTTAACGAAATTATCATAACTTGTTGTTGTAAATTAATGAATAATGTAAAAATATAAAATTCTTGTGAACTGTCGACACATTTGACATTGCACAAGAATTTCTTGATATTTTCTATTTTTTTTCTTTCTTTCTTCCTTCCATCATTAAATATCTCAAAGAAATATCGATTATACGTTACCAAATTACATGACTTATCTTGTAAAACTTTTAATTATCACGATTAGATATTGTAAGAGCTTTTATTAGTTCCCAATTAGTTTCCAACAATCGCGTTCATAGGATGGGATAATTATATCACGCAATCGAGCATGGATAGTAATTTCGAAAGCACAAACAACGAACTAACTTCTCATACAACCGGATTTTATGTTAAAACTAAAACGCATAATCAAGAAGACGATATTACTAGCACAAGCACGGTTAGGCCAGTGATCGTCCTTGTCTCTGTTCCGGAACGACAAAAAACTATATTGACAAAAGATCGAAATAAATTTGCGTTAAAGGATGCATTTTTAGGACATTTAAAGGAAAAAGGTGAACTTCGTGATGGGCTATCATTGAAAACTGATTATGTCAAAACTATTCATAAAGGTTCGTATATTCGTCAAATATTATATTAATAAAATAACATTGAAATTAATGAAACCCATAAACAATTGGAAAAATTTTTATACGATTTAATCTAATGTATGTTTATTTTTAAAGATATAACACAAATAAATTATCTTTAAATAAATATATTAAATAAGAGTTCGATATATAAATAATCTATTATGAGATAATTTTAAATTGAGACAATAAATATCACTTGATTTGATTTATATGTTTTATTCGATAGAAAATAATACACCAGGTGCATCGATTCCATTGGATATCGCATTAATTATCATAGGATCGATTGTATTTCTCAGTTTAATGTCCGTCGCAATAGTTACGATTATTCATACAAGGACGAAACTTTTCGAAACGGTGAGACTTTCGATTTACAACGACGAGAAAGACAAAAATAACGGACGTGAAAGTGAAAAGCAACAAAGACCATCCGGAAAGATTTCAACGATCATCGATAGTGCACTACCTCGTAAGTAATGTCAGCGACGTTTTCTCTCTTTCACACACACACATACACTTGATTGAAACGTAATTCACGCTTCTATTCTCGATGGTACTTGCCAGTGAAATCTGTGGCGTCCTTGACCTAGCTCATCTCTTTCTCCCTCGTGCGATTCCTTCACGTAATCCTCGCTCGATGACTAAATTTGTTCGTTTTTTTGCTAACTAATCCGATTACCATGAGTACTAACGGGGAAAAAAAAAAAAAAAAAAAAACATAATCCTTCGAAGTTCAACGTTTTATTGATCCACATAGTTATGTCAGTCATATTTATAATTGGATCGCGTTATACATATTAACGGATCAGCTGTCTGTCAATTTTGTTGTTATATGAACTATTTTACGTTTAACTTATTATTATTATTATTATTGCGATAACGACCAAACGTTAGATCTTTTAAATATAAATTTTCAATTTCTATTAAATAATATTAATATAACACGAATTGTTTTAAAAAGATACAATTCAGTAAATTAATTTGACAAAAATTACTCTGTTTACCAATTTTCATTTACATAATATATATCAATAATAAAAATGTTTTTTCTTTATTTTTGTTTATTGTTTTTAAGAAACACCGATACGTACGAATCCAGCAGCATTCTTTTCAAATTTTGAACAAACCGGTACGATTTTACCAACTGGTATAAACATCGAACCAGTAAGTAGTTACGCTAATGGCACCGCAACCATCGGCCTTCGAATTTCCGGCCATCTTCGTGGTAAGTTAAAGAAAACTATTCTTCATTACTATACGTTTTTACTACTCTCGGATAAATCGAAATTACTTTCTAAGCTTAACTTTCACCGTTTCAAACATTTCAGAGTTGTTACAAGAAGATCATTATGACAGACCTCCTACGACCTTGTTACGCCTTCACACGGATTTTGAATCGAATGGTGAACACCTTTATGATGAGATTCCTTTGCAATCAACTGGTCTTTGCTAGCGTAAATGCACGTGATTAACTCGAACGTGATTAACTCGCTCTACTTGAATATATTTCTCTCTCTCTCTGTCTCTGTCTCTCTCTCTTTCTTTTTCTTTTTCTTTCTTTTTTTTACTCCTACTTCGTAGAAAGATACACGGATCAAAAAGAATAGTTCATTGATGAAGTAACAAGTGTGGATAAATATACAAATACACATGTGTGTGTATATGTCAGCAATGTGTTTAAAATAAGAATTTAAGAAAAAAAATCCAACTTAACTGGTTTTCTAACTTACGCATAGCGATTGAACGTACAAGGCTACACGCGAATTGTTGATCATTCATTCGAGAAAATAAACAACACTATTCCTTAATGATCCGATTTGTACACATCTCATTGTGAGTTGTAAATTTATTCAATGGAGAACGTCCAGGGTTTCGAGAAACTTATACAATTATTTATCTTATTTGTACTTTTTTTTTTTTTTTTGTCATAGACTTACGTCAATGCATTCTATCGAATTATCATACGTGCATTAAAGGAAAACTGAATGTTTTTTTTCTTTTTTCGGAAGGAAAAATAAACAATAATTTTGTATTTAGAGATTATAGTAATATATTTCTAAGTACTGTTCGATTATATTAATTTATTTGGAAAATCTTATTAATAATTAGAATTTTGTGATTTATTCATCCGCGTAATTTCTAATGTCTCATATTTAAAATGAAATATCAAACTTTGTATTTGTACGTTAGAATAAGATTACTTTGTTTTCCTTCATATAAATGTTATATATTTATAATTTGTATTTTATTTTAATGGAGAAAAATTCAGATCATTTTGAAATATTATATATGTATGTATCTAATTTATGTACCTCAGTGGATTGTTTTCTATATCGATTTATGAAAATTAGGGCAATGTAACTATCATTATGCGTTTCAATGTAATCTTCTTATAACCCCATAACCCGTTCTTATTAAATAAATCATCGGTAAAAAGAAAAAGAAAAACAAAAAAAAAAGAAGGGAATAGATACGAATAAATGCAGAAAATTATGTCGACGCATAATCGAAAAGAAAGCGATAATATTTTCAAACGAAATTACTTACACATCTTTAGATTTATTGCATTCTTTTTTTCTTTTTCTTTTTTTTTTTTCTTTCATTTTCGATAAAAAAAATCTTTATAGATCAAATAATTTCAACATATTTCCGAGACGAGGTCGACAAAACAATTCCTCGAATAGCAGAATCTCATTCGTCTAATATATAAGTTATTTCTAATATGATATATTACAAAAAATATTTCCTACACAATTGTTTAATAATAATATATTTCAAAGCTAATAAATGTCTCAGGTATTGATACGTCATTTATAATTAAAATAATTCATTGTTTATGTAAAATATAACGAATAATAAATTAATGTAATATTTCTAAATTGATATAACAAATCGATAAATGGAATGAGATATTATTTTAGAAACATCTTGTATAGAATTTCTCGTTATAAGATGAGAAAAATATTGACCTTTGTATATTGTTCTTATCGAATGTGCGTTAAAAGCTCAATCAAAAAGACGAGAAGCGTATGTAAATTTCAGTCTTATTTAGATCGCAGTTCATTCAACATGAAACGATCTATGATCGTGGCGATTTTAATCGCTTATATTGCAATTGTTGGTACTTCGGCATATGAAGGAGTCAAGGGTGGCCATCGTCCTCGTTATCCAACGAGCGCTAATCAGTATGGTGGGCATAACAATAGTAGGCTTTGCTACAAGTCCGTACCGTAAGTACAAAATTATTTATTCTATTTTTTTTTTAATAACAATAATATATAATATTATATCAATCTTTTTTCTTTCGTAATCGCAAACGTTTATAAAATTGTTGTCAATATAAAAATTGAAATAACATTTAACGAAACTAATTCATTTAAAATAATTATAGAGATTACAAATAATGAAAAATTAAAAAAGTTAAAAATTATTCGTATCGTTCTCCTTTGTAGGATTTGACGTATATCAAATGTTTGATAACTTATACTTTTTGTGTTGTTTGTTTTCTTATTCTCACAAAAATATGAAATATTTCAATTATCTATCAAATATATAACTCGCAAAATAAATATTATGATAATACGCGTATCTATATGTGTGTCTTACAAAGTGATTAAAAAATATAAGAATATCGTAAAGAATATTGAAAAAACGAAATTTTATAAGATAACGCGTAAATCAAAGAGATCTAATTGTAAAATGAAATATAAAGAAATGAAATTTTTGCCAATGAATTACGTCTTAAGAGATAGAGATTAGAATTGAGATCAAGGTTACATGATGTGTAATCTTTCGCGTATGTTACATTTACTTATCGAGAGAACGTCAAATGACCTCTGACTATTAAAGTATCTATGTATTTTATACGCGTTCAAAAAACACTGTTTATGTTTAGATACGATCATGCATTAGCTCATAACACGAGCAGCGGAGTACCATACAATACAATTCCCTTGCCTCAAGATAATTATGTGAGTACCTTCGCTTTCACTTATTCTAATAGATTCTAATACTAAAAACAAAACTTAAACTGAAGGAAGAATTTCTTTGTTCTTTTTTTTTTTTTATAAAATCAGGATGGTAATCACGGATTCATAACGATCTTAGATTGTTGCGAGGGTTACAAGCGTAACATTACCACTGGTATCTGCGATTTTCACTGCAAGGAAGGTTGTTATGGTGGCGAATGTACCGGACCAAATCATTGTACCTGCAAGCCCGGCTGGTATCCGGAAAATGGACTCTGTATGCCCGTATGTCAACAACAATGTCAAAAGGACGCTTATTGTTTTTCCCCGAACGTTTGCGCATGTAAATTGGGTTACGACGAGGTGAATGGCGAATGCAAGCCAATCTGTCCCGATGGCTGTAAAAATGGCGACTGTGTCGCACCGCGCGTTTGCAGATGCCGATCTGGTTACGCATTAAATTATCGTCAAGAATGTGGCCCTGTTTGCGAGGGTGGCTGCCCCCATGGCGAATGTACCTCGCCCGGTATTTGTACTTGCTACGAAGGGTGAGCTTCTTTGTGATTTTTTTCTTTTCTTTTCTTATTCATTTTTATCTGAATTCTAAATACTATTCCGTTAAGTTAATTTTGATTTTTTTTTTTCAGATATACCAATCCACCGAATGAACGAGAATCTTGCGTCCCTTATTGTCAAAATAATTGCAACGGTGGTCAATGTATCTCACCTGGTGTCTGTAACTGTATGCAAGGTTACGAACGTAATCCGAACGGTGGATGTTCACCGGATCCCGCTTCGAATCAATGTAGATACGGTTGCGGTGAACACGGCGTTTGCATTGGTGTCAATCGTTGTCGTTGCGAACCAGGATACAAATCAGAACCAGACACGGGTCGATGTATACCAGATAAACGATCAGATCAACCACCCTATGGACAACCTACAAGTCAACCACCTTATGGACGACCAGTCGATCAACCACCTTATGGACAACATACAAATCAACCACCTTATGGACAACATACAAATCAACCACCCTATGGGCAGCATACAAGTCAACCACCCTACGGACAACCAGCTAACCAACCACCTTATGGACGACCAGTAGATCAACCACCCTATGGACAACCAGGAAACCAACCACCTTATGGACAACTAGGAAACCAACCATCCTATGGACAACCAGGAAACCAACCACCCTATGGACAACCAGGAAACCAACCACCCTATGGACAACCAGGAAACCAACCACCCTATGGTCAACCAGGAAACCAACCACCCTATGGACAACCTGGAAACCAACCACCCTATGGACAACCTGGACACCAACCACCTTATGGACAACCGGTCGATCAACCAACTTACGTACGACCAGGCGGTTTACAGACTGGTAACAAATACGAAACTATCTGCGAATTACCCTGTCTGAATGGCGATTGCACCGGCCTCAATCAGTGTACCTGCAAACACGGCTACACATTCGACCAGAATGATCACACAAGAACAAGATGTGTGCCCATTTGCGTTGGTGGTTGTTCTAACGGAATCTGCACGGAGCCAAATCGTTGCATCTGCAACCCAGGTTACAAAAAAGATCTCGGTGTAAAAGGTAGACAAAGATGCATACCGAGCTATTAGACTATTCTACCTAAAGAAATGAGAAATAGAGAAACGGAGATCTATGTATAATACAGAGTTAAATTAATGAAATAAATTAACAATATATTTTGTCCTTTATTATATTTCTTAAAGTCAAAAATATTACTCACAAATTGATCCAAACAAATCCATCGAGTTTTTCTCACACACGCGCGAACGTACCTTGCACCGTTCCAAGATCCTCGGAAAACCTTGACCTAACAGCCGGTAGATAACCGAAACGCTATTAATTCGAGATTATGCTTGGCTTACGAAACTACGGCTTTGCTATTACCCAGACAATTTACCGGACAGTATCGCGTAAGCTCAGATAAATTAATGACAAAAAATTAAAATCCTATCTTAAAAATCTTTTACCTTTTTGTCAAAGATACAAAATATCTTACCGATCGCTATTCAATTTCCGTTCTTATAATTTTAATATAATATCCTGTAATTAATAATACATACGAACTGGAGATAATTCTACGCGAAAAATTAAATCGAAAATGTGATATTAAATTTATTCATATAAGATTTTGTTCACGAAGAAAATAATGTTTGATAATATGTTGAGTGCACGTGAACTTGATTTACAATGAGCTTGCAACAATGAAATCTAAAAGTCTTGTTCGATAAGATAAAAGTAAAACTATTAAAAGTAAACGTATTATAAAAAGTACAAAAATTCTCTCCGAAATATATTAAGATAATGAAGTCCGTTTGAAATTGAATCAAGTGCACTCGTACTCGACAAATTTTCAAAATTATTTTTAAACAAATTTTACTCTACATTACTGACTTATTTTTTCATGTAGAATCACCCTCTTCTCGCTTGTATTACCAAACAGAGAACACCCAGTATATATAATATATGATACATGTAATTTTCCAACGCATCTAATCTATTATATTATATAATTTCAGATATCCATTATACATTCGGAGAAAAAATATTAAAAATCATGTATTAATAGTTTTTCCAGCAATTTAAAATCATTATGATAACAAAAAACTTGTTCTGTGCATCCTGCCTGTTACCGATAATAGAAGATCCTCAGCATGACAAATACAGCAAAAGTCATGGGGTATTAAATCATACCGTCAGTCTTTGACAATCTTTTATACGATACACACTAAAGTCGCGGAAATACATATATTATTAAATTTACATTATATTAAATAGAAACAAAATCGACGGAAGCCATGAAATTGTTATTATTCTTTATTCTTTATATATTCATCGTGAAAATTAAATATTCTTTAACAGAATATTCCCGGGAAAATGGATATTGCAGTAAATTAGTCAGGTAAAAAAATAACTCTTCTGTTATCTACTTCCGTCTAAGATAATTATTTCGCATCGATCACATTTCCATCACAGTTACAAAAAACCACGACTTGTTTCATACCTTGAAAGTTATCGAGAAAAAAAATGGGGACTCTTTTATAAAACAAAATATCGATATAATTATAGAACCGAGGTAAGAGAACGCTTTGTATTCTGTTTTCTAGATTTAAACGATAGAATATGATCATTAAACAAAAGACACCTTCTCTCATTGTCAGTATTACACGGATTTTATCGAAGAGACAACATGCTGTTATCATTACACAATGCAAAACGGGGACTGTATACCCATATGCAATATTCCTTGTGGCCAAGGTAGATGTATAAAACCTAATATGTGCGAATGTTACGATGGATACCTACCATTATCCTTAAAAAATACAGCTTGCATACCCGTTTGCAAGCATTCCTGCGTGCATGGTTATTGTTCGAAACCCAACACTTGCACTTGCGATTCTGGTTATCAAATAAAATCAGACGGATTTACCTGTGAACCAATTTGCAATCCAAAATGTGATTCAGCAACTACTTTCTGTTCGAAACCAAATACCTGCACTTGCAAAGAAGGATACAAACAAATCAAGGACAAGACCTGTGTGCCTATATGCAACGTACCGTGTAAAAATGGCAAGTGCACGGCACCTGATACTTGCACCTGCAATAAGGGATACTCTTTCGACTTTACGAATAAGTTCACATGCAAACCGGTATGCGACAAATGTGTAGATGGAATTTGCACTGCACCGGATATTTGTACCTGCCGTAAAGGCTATTCTTTAACTAAGGAAGGTTATTGCAAGCCAGTTTGTAACAATCCTTGTCATATGGGTATTTGTATCGCACCTGAAACTTGTATGTGCTACGATGGTTATGGTTTACTTATCAATTCGACGAACATATGCGAACCGATTTGTCCAAAAGCGTGTATTAATGGCTACTGCATACATCCTAACGTTTGCAAGTGTCACGATGGTTTTTATCTAACAGGCGACGAGACAAGTTTGCACGTTTGTGTGCCCCGTTGCGAACAACCGTGCGAACCAAACGGAAAGTGCACCGCCCCAAATGTTTGTACCTGTAATGCGGGATACTCGCTCGACAATGAAGTAAGATAAACTACAATATCAATAAAGGTTTCTGATATACAAACATTTTTATCTATTATCTTTTTCATTTTTCTTCAGGGAGCTGTTCACTTTGAAGGTGAATCGGTTTGCAAACCTTTCTGCGAAGAGACATGCATTAATGGATTTTGTGCGGCACCATCTTTCTGCGAGTGTTCGTTAGGATACGAACATTCCGATGTAAATAACGTTTGTATACCATTTTGTGAACCTTCTTGTTGGTCGCATAGCAGTTGCACAGCACCAAATAAATGCACCTGCGATAGAGGATACAAATTAACGACGAAAGAAGTTAATAAAACTCACAC